GAGGAGGAGGACGAGGACGAGGACGAGGACGAGGACGAGGAGGAGGAGGGTTCGCCTGTGGCCCCCTATATTGGCCGGGGTCGGCGGACGTGCGTAGCTCTCTTCGCCCGAGCCTGGCGGCGCGCGCAGGGCCGGGGTGGCGCGCGGCGGGGCGGCCCCGGGAGACGGGAGCCCCTCAGAGGGCAAGGGCCTTCTCAGACGGGGGCCCCGAGGCTCCCGAGAGGGAGAGGGCTTCCCGGAAGCGGGGGTGCCCGCCATAGAGAGGGACCGACCGTCGTCCCGGCATTCCTCCAGGACCACGACGTGTTCGGAGACGTTTCCAAGAAGCCCGTCGCGCAGATCACGCGAGGTTCCCAGACCATTCTCCTGTGGGCCTCGAGGCAAGCCAGGAAGCCTCGCCACTGCTTGATCATTTGGCGCACCCCGCCCTCTCAAAAGCTCCCCCGCCTTTCGGCGGTGGACAAACCTCCCTTTAGCAGACCTCCCCTCAATGAAATCGGCCTGGGACCGAAACCGACGGACCTGGACCCGCAAAAACGACGGCCGCGACGCCCTCTCGCGAACCGAAATCGGCCAATTCCTTACTCGACGTGTCGCAGATCACGCGAGGTTCCCAGACCATTCTCCTGTGGGCCTCGAGGCAAGCCAGGAAGCCTCGCCACTGCTTGATCATTTGGCGCACCCCGCCCTCTCAAAAGCTCCCCCGCCTTTCGGCGGTGGACAAACCTCCCTTTAGCAGACCTCCCCTCAATGAAATCGGCCTGGGACCGAAACCGACGGACCTGGACCCGCAAAAACGACGGCCGCGACGCCCTCTCGCGAACCGAAATCGGCCAATTCCTTACTCGACGTGTCGCGCACAAATGAATCATACAGACAAATGACAGGATTCCCCATGGTTCCCCATGGTTTCTGAGTTTTTGTCTTCCCCCCACTTCCCATATGTTCCCACATTTTCTGGGGAATCGACGATTCCTTGTGTCTGTGTGTGCTTCTTCCCTCCCGAGAGGAGGCCGCCCCCCCTGGCGCCGCCCCCTCGTGCGCCCCGCCGACCACCTGCGCGGCCTGCGCGAAGTTGCCGTCGCGCTCGTAGACGTTCTGCAGGTTGCGCACCATGCGCAGCAGGAAGGCGGCGTTGGGCAGCCGCGGCATGCTCCTCCACCCAGGATCTATCCTTCAGAGGAACCAGCAGCGGCATAGGCGATAGACATATTAACTCTGGGAGATCCGCCCAGATTTCTTGGATCGGCGCTGGACCTCCTTTCTTGGCGCGCGGAGCGTCGATCCGAGAAATCAGCGCGGACCTCTGAAAATCGATGCTTCCTGCGCCGTGAGAAATCATCCTGGCGAATGTCCCAACCATATGCAGTTGTTGGTACCGTAATTGTGAATATCTGCTTCGGTGAAGCTCCCTACGGGGCCACGAAGCGCTGCACTGGGCGGGGGGGAACGCTGTGCTCTGTGGGTGGTGTGCCGAATTGGGTTGCCGGGATGCATGCGGACGGTCCCACTGAGGGCTTCGGTGGAGCTCCCTAGGGCCACGAAGCGCTCTACTGAGTGAGTCAAATGCCAAATTGGGCTACCGGGACGCATGCAGACGGTCCCACTGGGTGCTTCGGTGGAGCCCACTATTGGGGCCACGAAACGCTGCACTGCGCGGGTGAAAATGCAAAATTACATTTCCCGGACGCATGCGGACGGCGGCACTGGGGCCTTGAGTGGAGCCCCCTATGGGGCTAGAAACGCTGCACTGGGTGGGTGAAATTGGGCTTCCGGGACGCATGCGGACGGGGGCACTGGGGCCTTCGGTGGGGCTCCCTATGGGGCCACGAAGCGCTGTACTGGGTGGGTGGAACGCAGGGAGGAGGGGGAGGAGGGCCACGAAACGCTGTCCTGGGTGTGCGGGACGCATGCGGACGGTAGCACTGGGACCTTCGGTGGGGCTCCCTATGGGGCCACGAGACGCTGTACCGGGTGTGCGGGACGCATGCGGACGGTAGCACTGGGACCTTCGGTGGGGCTCCCTATGGGGCCACGAAGCGCTGTACTGGGTGGGTGAAACGCATGGAGGAGGGGGAGGAGGGCCACGAAACGCTGTACTGGACCTTCGGTGGGGCCCCCTATGGGGCCACGAAACGCTGTACTGGGTGTGCGGGATGCATGCGGACGTTAGCACCTTCGGTGAGGCTCCCTATGGGGCCACGAAACGCTACACTGGGTGCGCGGGACGCATGCGGACGGTAGCACTGGGACCTTCGGTGGGGCCCCCTATGGGGCCACGAAGCGCTGTACTGGGTGGGTGAAACGCAGGGAGGAGGGGGAGGAGGGCCACGAAACGCTGTGCTGGGTGTGCGGGACGCCTGCGGACGGTAGCACTGGGACCTTCGGTGGGGCTCCCTATGGGGCCACGAAGCGCTGCACTGGGTGTGCGGGGCGCATGCGGACGGTAGCACTGGGACCTTCGGTGGGGCTCCCTACCCTGAGGTTGCTAAGATCTGTTTTTTAGATCTCGGCTTGCAACATATCAACGTAGCATCGAAAATAGAAATTCATGTCATAAATAGATCTTATGTGAAAAACAGAACTAGACTTTCACAGCAAACGCACGCTTTGAATGATTTCCATCTGCGCGGTTGCGAGTTGTCAACGTTGAGGCATTGATGCCAGAAGTTCGGCCTGCGTCCGCACAGTTGTTGTTTGCGGCGCTACAGTGAAAGTCACATTTTGAAAAAACGCTACGTCCAGCTATCGTTGAACGCGTTGCGATCAAAGAGGGCGCCGCTACCATGTCAAAGCTGCAGTGCGTCCACCTGCGTAGTTGCTGCGCACAGCGGCGCGCGGGCACTAGCCCGCTAAAACGCGCGTTTCTCCTTCTTTCCTCCTCCCCCTCCCCCTGCTCCTCCCTTCTCCTTTCCTCCTCCTCCTCCTGCTCCTCCTCCTCCTCCTTTTCTCCTGCTCCTCCTCCTGTTTCTTCTCCTGTTCCAGCTGGTCCTCCTGCTCCTGTGTCTGCCCCTGTTCCCCTGGCTCGGTTCTTCCTGGATTTTCGTGGTGCCCCCTGGTGTTTTCTGGCCGTCCGAAGCCCCGAGGAATTCCTGAAACCTCTGAGGGTGCCCTGAAGCTCCCAAGGATGTCCTGAGGCAGCTTGGAACCTCCGAGAATGTCAGAGCAGGAGGCAAGGAGGAGGCCCTTCCCTGCGGCTCGCGGGCGTCGGGCGTCGAGCTGGGCGGTCGGGCGTCGGGCTGGGCGGCCACTCGCGGCCACGTCGAGGAGTTCACCTCGCGGGGCAGAGGGCGGGGGGCGCGCGGATCGAGGAGAACGCCTGAGGAGGAGGAGGAGTTGAGGATGAGGAGGGGGAGGGAAGAAAGAATGAGGAGGAAAAGAAGAGAAAGAAGAAGAGGAAACATCGGAGTTCAAGGGCGGAAGGCAAAGCACGAGAGGGAGGAGTCGGACGCAACGGAGGAGGAACGGTCGCCGATGGGATCCGCGCCCTGTCGAACGCCTCGCCCCAACGGTAGGCCTCGATGGCATTCTCAATCGTTGCCAAACGATGGGCCATGTCTTGGGCGTCCATTGTCTCAAGCTCTTGCTTCACCTCGAGGAGGTGCGCCTGGCTGTAGGGATTTCCAAATCAAACATCGAGGTTTACCATTGGGGAGGTGCGAACGCTATCAAGAACTGCCGTCAGGCAGAGACGCCCCAGCGTTCGTTTCCGTCTCCTTCTCCTTCCAGGCCTCCGTCTTTCTTTCTTTTTATCCGTCCTTACTCCCTCCTTTTTTCTCTTCCTCATCCTCTTCTTCCTTCTCCTCCTCCTCCTCCTCATCCTTCTCTCCTCCTCCTCGCCATTCTGCTCGATTTGATAGCGCCCGCTGCCTGCGCTGGAGATAGCGCGGCCCTCGCGCGCACGTCCGCCTCCACGGGCTCCTCGGCCGTGCCGCCAGGGTTCGCGACCTGGCCGTTCGAGCGCACGTCCATGCCATCTGGGTCCGTGCGGTGGTCGGTGCCATCTGGGTCCTCGCCATCTGAGTCCCCAGTCAAATTGATCGACATGACGTACGCGGCATCCAATTCCTGTTCCGCGTCTTGCGACGCTGCATGCCACGCCTCAGCCGGCGGCGGCGGCCTCCCTGGTGATGATGGTTGGCTTGGCATCGGTTTGAGCGCACGTGCTGTATCAGCGGCACGCATGCGTTTGTACTCCTCGATCCTTTCCCGCCAGTAGGGCCAGTGCACGTCATCAAGCGGGTGCTGCGAGCACGCTTCGGGCGATTCGGCAATGATCCACAGTCGTCGGATGAACGCAATGAATTCTAACTTCAGGTCCGAATTCCCATTTACGATCTCAGTGAAGACGCCGTGACCATCGCTATCACCATGGAAGAGAAATTCCTGCCCGACGGTTCTCAGCACCTGCGAGTCCTCCAGGAAGTCAAACATAGGCAAGTCGTGCTTGTAGCGGCGCATGGCGTCGGCACAGCAGAGGAGCGGCAAGAGGGACAACACCGCCCGCATGTCTTAGGTGGGCGTTGGATAACTGAAATGCACGTTGATGCTAGTTTGAGCACAAATGGCTACGATCAGGGCGTGACACTGTCAGGCACGTGCAAGGCGACGGGCCTTCACAATTTTTCTCATCTCCGAGGTTCGCACTTGTTTACTTGATGTCGCACCGCATCCCACAGCCACGGCCAACGCGGCGGCGACGGCACAGAAAGCGCTTCGACGCGCTTGCGAAGACAAGGGGCCGACGAGCCCTCGACAAGCGCGGCCTTCGCCTCTCCAGTTCTGCCTCGCCTCCCTCTCGGCCCTTCTTCGTTTCTTGCTCTCGGGGGATGAGGAGAGGGAGGAGATTGCATGTAGGAGTTGTGCGTACTTCCTTGTGCTGCTGCTGCTGCTGCTGCTCCTCCTCCTCCTCCTTTTCCTCCTCCTCCTCCTCCTCCTCCTCCTCCTCCTTCTCCTCCCCCCCCTCCCCCTCCCATCCTTTTCCGAGCCGCCACGCGGCGACACAAGGGCTCGAGCAGCAAGCGAACTTGATGGGGGTCCAGTTTCGAGGACCTCGGTGGCCTTCCTCCTCCTCCTCCTCCTCCTCCTCCTCCTCCCCCTCCTCCTCCTCCTTCTCCTCCTCCTCCTCCTCCTCCTCCTCCTCCTCCCCCTCATCTTATCCACGTTCCTCCTCGCTCTCCTTCTCTTCATCTTCATCCTGCTCCTCTGTCCTCCTCTCCTGGACCCTTCCACTAGCGCAACCCCTTCACCCTCGCGACTAGCGCGCCGCGACGTCAGGCTGGCTGACGCCTCTCCGCCGCGCTGCCCGCGCCGTCAACTCGAGAAAAAACCCAAGTCAGGCTTCAAACGACCGAGCAAACTGAAAATCCTAAACAGCCTATCCTCGAAGCGCATTTGATGGCAATGCTCGGCTACTCTTCTGATTGTGAAATTCAGCGTTTCGTCCAAGAAGCACTGGTATGCGATCGGGTTCCCGTGCCACTTGATTCTGATGGGAGACGTAAACTTTGAAACAATCACCATCACAGATTTCCCTGAGAAGCAGGACCCCCAGGGGCCCTAATCTCGGCGCGCGTTTTGTTCCCGTCGGGGGGAGGGCGGGGTTCCAGGTTTAGGCACGAGTCGTCTTTCAACCGATCCCAAAGAAAACAATGCGCGGTCCTGGAAGCCATGTGCAGACAGAAGTGCATTTTCGGGACGAAGTGTATGCCAGCGGCGTCGGCATAAGTTAAATGCGCCATCATGGCGTCGAAAGACTTCTTTATGCCGTCATCAGGGATCACGGTCGGGTACTCTCTGAGCAGGCTCATGAATCCGAGGATTGAGGTGCCAGCTGCTTCCAAATTGTTTCTCTCTGGTACGTTGCCACCGTGCTTTCTTAGGTAGTGTAGGGCAAACCTAGCCATAATAAAAGTTTCGTGCGCCTTGAACTTCATGGGCCCCCCTGGGTGGCAATTGTCAGGCGCGTGGTCATAGCTGAAACATTCTCCCAACATCGATGGCGTGAGATCCCCGAACGTTTCACTCGATTGAAGCCCAGCAGACTTCTGCCAACTAAACAGTTCTATGCGAATGTGTCTTGTAGCCAACGCGATGCGGTGGGATTTTTCACCAGTAAGAAACGATGCCCTCTGCAGAACACACCTCCAAAGCACGCGCGAGCACCGCCTCTGC